CTTTATTTTTAAAAATCACAGCCACCTACATGAAGCAAGTTCTGTGTTCTTTTGGTCCAAACTAAGATAAGACTGAAGGTTCGAGGATGAACAGGTCTGAAGAATGGTTTCTATACTGTCTGTTACACATGTAGAAGGTTGGGCTGAGGAAGTGTTACTTTCTGGAACTATTAAAATGTTTCAGAGGGTAGCCATGTTGATCTGCAGTAGAACAGCTACATGCAAATCCAGTAGCACCTTAAGAGACCAACAAGATAGGGTGGGTATGAGCTAACAAGGCAGCTCATACCTCCAAAAACTTCTTGGTCTCTAAGGTGCTACCAGACTCAAATCTAACTATTAAAATGTTGTCATTGTCTGGGTGACTTTTTGGACGACTTTTTATTTATTACACTTCCGGTAAGGGGCTCAGGGTAGCACAGCATATATGGCTTCCCTTTCCTCATTTTATCCTCCTAACAACCCTCTTTGCTGCATGTGGATGAGTGGGGATTTGAACTGGGGTCTCCTAGATCATAGTTCATAACCACTTCACTGTTTCTTAACATAGCAGGGGGTTACCCACACAAAGAGGAAACAGCCAGGAGAAAAAAAAAGGTCCAGTCCTTTTAACAGAGGCATAATGAGATGTCATTTACCTCCATGCCATGAAAAGCTTCAACTGCTAATTGCTACACATGAATCATCTATTAAAAGGACTGGACATTTTCCTCCAAGCTTGTTGGCAACCCTGAGGTCTGTGCATAAGGAACAAATTGGCAAAAGAAGTTGTGGAATCTTGGGATTCGCTCTCTCTCTCCCTCTTTTTAAAGTTACTGGCCTGGAATCTCTCCCTTGAGACACAAAAACAGCCCACAAACAAACCAAAAACTATTTTGAGAACACCTTGGAAAATTAATGGGTTGTTTAGAAAAGAACATATTTGTTTTCAGGTGACTACACTTATTCATAACCCACGTATGCATAATTTTAAAGGGTACATTTTATGATGGTCCAAAGCATTTGCCCCGCGCTACCCCAGACTGAAAGAACACAGAAGACCTTACATACCTTACCTTTTCAGAGGCCTGTTGCCAAAGGCCGCTTGCCACTCTTGCTCTCTGACAAGCTTTCCCACCACTTCTTCCTTCTCCTTTTCTATGTGGCCTGGCTTTGTCCTTCCTGTTACTTGACAGATAGTGTGAGATTGGTGTGAGCCAAATACAAACCCACTCATCAAACAAACCAGGGGTGCGATTCTGCCCTTTCCTTGGTCTTCCTGTGCCTTTACTGTCCCCCAGTTGTGGGGCTGCAGAAATGTGAGGCTATTGTTTTAAACTTGGTGTATGTGCAATGATCCCACTACTCCAGGGAAGTAATTTGGCCTTGCTCACAATCATACTATGTGCCTTCCATTGCAATACCAATAAGTCCTTATCTACCAGATCTTAGGGGAGGTGTCATTTTGTGAGCAATTGTCCCCCAACTTTAACGTTTGCGGATGAGCAACGTTTCTTAGGGGAATGGAAAATAATGACTTTCGGCTATTTGAGCCATTCTGTGTAGTCTTTGAAACACAAGCATCAGAATAGTCCAGGCGCACGTACGTTTGTGGGGGGCTCTTCTATTGAACAGATCTGTTCTATTCAGGGGAAGGAAAGATGCAAATTCAGTTTTCTTTCACTTTAAAATGGGTGTGTGTGTGCGCGCGTGGAGGAGAAAAACAGGTGAAAGAGACCCCCTATCCCCTCCCAAAGACCGCGCGTGTGGAGGAGAAAAACAGGGGAGAAAAACAGGGGAAAGAGACCCCCTATCCCCTCCCAAAGACGCGTGCCTAATTGGACATAGGAAAAGAGGAAGGTAAGAAGAATTACAACCTGCTCTTCTCCCCCGCCTCCAAATGACACCCACCCATCACAGAAAGAGAACAGGAACTGTCCCCTTCGCTAAGCGAAACTACGGCGCAGCGATTCTACCCAGTTGACAAAGCGCATGCGTACTCCACGGCCCTGACACCGGTTACGTCACCCCCCTCTGAGGCCCCGACTCTCCCCTCGAGTTGCCAGTTCGCGCTGAACTCTGTGTCTGTCGCGCCCGCCCGCGCCGTATTCTTCTCCTCTTTCCCCTCTACCACCACCCCCCCCTCGGCATGGGAGCCTACAGAGTCCACCCTCAGCCGTAACGTTGCTTCTGTGGCGTCGATTCGACAGTTTGTCTCCCCCCCCTCTCCTCCAGCTCCTCCTCCTCCACCACGCTAGACGGAGCAGCAGTTGGGGCCTCGGCTACCGGCTTCCCAGGACGTTCTCCTTCGCCTCACGGGCACTGGGACCCGGCGAGCCAAAGGGGAGAAGTTGCCGTTGGAGGAGGTGAGTCCCGGGGACGCGGGAGCTCCGTAGGCTGCATGCCTTTCCCTTGGGCGCTCTGGACGCCCCCTTCATCCTGGGGTCCTGCCTCATGGGGGAGGGGGGGTTGCATTCTGTTTTCTCCATCCCGGGACTCACACCCCTTATTTATCCCGGCATGTAACCCTCCCCATTCCTCCCCACCCTCCCCAGTTGGGTCTCACCAGTTTCCTATATTTCTCTTTCTGGGATTTCCTCACCCCACAA